TACCAAAAAAAAAAAAAAAAAAATTAAATTAGCCAAGCATGGTGTCACACACCTGTCGTCCCGGCTACTCGGGAGGCTGAGGGAAGAGGACTGCTTGATCCTGGGAGGTCAAGGCTGCAGTGAGCCATGATCAAACCACTGCACTGCAGCCTGGGCGACACAGCGAGATCCTATCTCAAAAAAAAAAAGAAAATAAAATAAAAGAAAAGAAAAAAAGCAAAAGCAAAAAAAAAAAAGAAAAAGAAAAGCAAAAAAGAAAAGCAAAAATAAAAAAAAGCAATTACTGCGAATGTCAGGGTTGGCGGATACTTCTGGAGAGAAGGGAGGGGCTGGCATTGTGCCCAACTTGAGCCCTTTCTGGAAATAAAGAGTCTAGTGGGGAAGCCAGAGGCACAAGTGGAGATTCAGGCGGCAGCACCAGGAGGGTCCTTTCCTCCTTCCCACCTCCTTGCCCTTTCTTTCTGGGAACAGGAGCATGATTGTCCTTCTTCTTTGCCTTCCTAACTAGATAGAGTTTCTGAAAGGAGAATTTACATACAGGATGTATACCATTGACATGCACAGCGAGCTGGAACTGACTGCTTTGTTGATACCCCAGCCAGGCACATCCCTGATTCCTCTGGTAAGTACATCTCGATGTTTCTGCTATCGGGATTCTCAGCCACATGCCCGGTGCCCACTCCCAGATTCTGGAAATCCCTTGGCATCCCCCACAAGGAGAGACGCTACTCAGGCACTCACGATTCTGCATAGAAATTGTCTCTATGTGTCTTTTTTTTTTTTTTTTTTGAGACAGGACCTCACTTTGTCCATTAAGCTGGAGTGCAGTAGCGTGATCTCGGCTCACTGCAACCTCTGCCTCTCAGGCTCAAGCAATACTCCTGCCTCAGCCTCGCGAGTAGCTGGGATTACCGGCATGTGCCACCACACCTGGTGAATTTTGTATTTTTAGTGGAGATGGGGTTTCCCCATGTTGGCCAGGCTGGTCTTGAACTCCTGGTCTCAGGTGATCTGCTCACCTCAGACTCCCAAAGTGCTGGGATTACAGGCATGAGCCACCATGTCCAGCCATTTCTATGTGTCTTCCCCCTTGACCAGCCTCTGCATGTCTGGGCATGATGAGGTTGTGGCTGTGCGGCTGGCCGCCTGGCCTCTCTTGTGCCGTCTCGGTGCCTCCTCCATCCTTCTCAGCTGCTCATAAATTCATTTTCTATTCTTGACTTTTCTTTTTCTTTCTTTCTTTCTTTTTTTTTTTTTTGAGATGGAGTTTTGCTCTGTTGCCCAAGCTGGAGTGCAGTGGCACGATCTCGGCTCACTGCAACCTCTGCCTCCGGGGTTCAAGCGATTCTCCTGCCTCAGCCTCCCAAGTAGCTGGGATTACAGGTGCATGCCACCATGACTGACTGAGTTTTGTATTTTTAGTAAGAGGGGGTTTTGCCATGTTGGTCAGACTGGTCTCGAACTCCTGACCTCATGATCCACCCACCTCGGACTCCCAAAGTGCTGGGATTACAGGCATGAGCCATCACGCCGGCCTCATTTTCTTAACTCAGCCTGTTGCTCAGGCTTCTCTTGCTAGCAGCTAAGAGCCCTGACCCCATGGCCTTCCCCCACCCGGCAGGAAGTGCTTGGATGTTTCTAGATCCAAAATCCAAGTGTCTAAGCCTAGACATTAGTTGCAAGTACAGATGGTCCTACAATTTTTTGACTTTACAATGGCACAAAACTGATTACATTCAGTAGGAACTGTGCTTCCAGTACTGATACAAACTTTCTGTTTTTCACTGTTAGTATTCAGTAAGTTACATGAGGACCAGGCGCAGCAGCTCACGCCGGTAATTTCAGTACTGCAGGAGGCTGAGGTGGGAGGATCGCTTGAACCCAGGAGCTCAAGACTAGCCTGGGCAACATAGTGAGACTCTGTCTCTACAAAAAAAATTAAAATTCTGAGCTGGGTGTGGTGGCGCATGCCTGTAATCCCAGCTACTCGGGAGGCTGAGGCAGGAGAATCACTTGAACCCCGGAGGCAGAGGTTATGGTGAGCTGAGATCACGCCATTGCACTCCAGCCTGAGCAACAAGAGTGAAACTGTCTCAAAATAAATAAATAAATAAATAAATAAATAA